TACGTCGAGTCATCATTTCGTTTGATGCAATGATTGATGAGTTTTATACAATACGAGATCGTGAATCAACGCGCTTTGCATTATGCCTGCAGGATAACAAAAACATAAAACTTGGAACTTTCCTGGCGCAGAGGAAACAATTAAAACAGCTCAACACAGATGTAATTAGCGCCGGGCATTCTCTTTAGGTTGTGAGTGATTTGTTTTGCACTTTCACACTGTGAACAACCGAATCTATTTAAATCATCATTGATTCATTTTTATTTTTTGGTTGTTGAAAAATGTTGTTGTAAATATTTTTGCGTGCTAATTAGCGATGCGTTCGCGTTTTTTTTTTCTGCAGTCGCGCAATCTTCCCCGCTGGCACAATTCGTCGTGCATTCACAGCATCGTCTTGTAATTGCGTAATGCGTAATGGTTGTCCTCTGATGTGCCTCTAAACGCCTCGCCTGCGCATATTACATATGCTCGGATCCGAAAACTTTCTTTCGAGTTCGTGAAGGCGACTTACCCGTTCGTTATTAATTGAAACTTATGCAATTCGATGCGGTTTGCATCCACCGAGTTGCAAAAGTATTTTACAAAAATTAAAAAGTTAATTTTTAATCATAATAAATAATTACGTATTTGCAAAGTAGCTAATAGTAATTTTTGCAAAATTACAGTATACAACTGTGAAATAGGTACAATGTAGTTGGTTATTATTAATTTCCTTGTTGTAGCATTACAGTTCCTCTGTGTAACGACGAAAAATAATTTCATTTCTAGTAATTATGAGCTAGAATATTTTTTCAAAGACATGACATCGATGGTAACCTTTGAAATATTGTTGTAATTATGATCCCAACATCCTGGAAAATTGCAATGCAAATTTCTATAACTTAAGCTCGATTTTTCAGCTAATTTGTTGGGGTGCACGTTGCGTTACAACAAAATCATTTAAACATAACACAAGTGAATACAACTGAGCGACGCGGAATTCATATTTAGACTTCAGGAAATATTTACCGACATTTTACAAGAGTAATTGAGTTTATAACCAGCTGACAAAAGATTAAACACATGCCAATCCATGTAAAATACCAATAATTTATTATTTTTTATAAAACATTATTAAAAAATTGTTAAAAAACAGTTTTAGGTTAAAATACGCAACTAAAAGTGCAATTTTAGTATTTTTGCTATTAAATAAACATAAAAACAAGCGCAGATAACACACAAAAATTTAATTCTACTTTGCCAGCCATACGTGATCTACAAAACTTGATTCTCTCAAAGAGAACTCTATTAATTTGAAATCTAACACCATGATGATAAAAATATCTCCGTAGTGCCAAACGTAGATATTATATACACATATATATCAAGAAACAAACAAACCGACCCCTTTCGCCTTCTGGCTTTCTGATTTCAATGCATCCATAGATGCTTATCACTGATATGCGGACCCTTTTTCTAATTCATTTGCACGCTCCTTTCTTCGAGCGTCCATTGTTACTTCTACGAGTACTCCGGCATGAAAAGGGAAAGTCGTTTAAATTTTTCGCCTGCGTTCTCGAATGTAAAACGTTCATTGAATTGTTGCATTATGATCGCATCGCATCTCTGATCCCGATCATTTCCTGATATTACAAATGCAATCGTTGATTGTTCCAAACAAATAATTGAATTTCAATGTTTTTTTTCCGATTTACACAATAAACAAATTGCTCATTCATCTCGAGGCTATTAATATCGTATCTGTAATTGTGCGATTAAATAACACGTTTTCCGTGCACATATTGCTACAGTTTAAATATCTGTAACATGCGAATGTTTTGTAAGCGCAGTTGCCCGGATTGTGCATTAATGTCGTGTCGTCACCGCGTGTTGTGGGCGGCCGTAAATTGCAGAGCGATTTCAATGGACGTGCGCCGACGACGCGATTGTATTCAAAATGCGGCTGTGGCGAAGAGAATTAAAGAATTATCCACTTACATAACGGCGTGTTCTACATGTTTCACTGATAAATAAATTTGGTATCGCGATTGGATCTCAAGCTCAATGTTCATAAAACGCATACTAATTAAATTTTTGTATGTTTGTGTCAATTTGGAGCAAAAACCACTGAAAGAAATTTGATACATTTTTGTGTAGAGATATTTTGGACATAGGAGAATAACATAGGCTACTTTTTGTTGCAAAAATTTAACTTGAAGGGTGTGAAAAATTGTTTGTAAGTTTGTGCAACAAAAAAGATAAATTACGCTGTCGCATGCATAAAAATGTGATGAAAAAGCTTATTGAATTTTATGTTTTGAGCTCTAATAAAGATTTATTTTAATGAATAAATTTTTATCAAATTTTACATTAATACTAGTTAACCGGGCAAACGTTGTTTTGCCATATAAATTATTTCAAGTTTCTAGATAAATTTTAGTGTAGACAAAAAGTAACTTACTTATTATAAAAAATAGGGGTTGGTGATAAGAAACCAAAAATTTAGGGTTGTATGTATATTTTAATGCCACATTAAAAAAATAAAAACAAAAAATTTCGACCAAAATTTAAAAAAAATTAAGGGTGAACAACCCTTATCACTTAGAGATATGAAGTTACCGATTCTCAGACCTACTGAATACGCATATAAAAATTTTCTTTGAGCGGGATGAAAAATGATTAAATTACGAAAATGGCTATAAAGAAATAGGGGTTGGTGATAAGAAGCTAAAAATTTAGGGTTGTATGTATTTTTTAATTCCACATTATAAAAAAAATAAAAACAACTTAGGGGTATGAAAAATAGATGTTAGCCGATTCTCAGACCTACTGAATACGCATATAAAATTTAGTAAAAATCGGTAAAGCCGTTTCGGAGGAGTATGGAAACAAACACTGTGACACGCAAATTTTATATATATAGATAAATTTTACAATTTTTAAATACAAGCAATAATAAAATTATCAACGCAAGTAAAAGCTTATATTTTAACTGTAAAATTAAGTTTCGAAAACAATTATTGCCGCATTACAAAGCAACGTATTTATTTCCTAACATGAAATAAATCTGCGTATAATTAACACGGGCAAACAGCACACAGCGCGATTTTTTCCCCGCGGAAAATATAGGCGAAGTATTGATTTGTTCGATCCTTTAGAGTTCGCCGCGGCGCGGCATGCGCGTCGCGCCGATGCAAATTAATAATTAAGATTGATATTGCAAGCGGTCATAAATTACGCGCGGAAAATGTTCGCGTCTATCCGGTTTCCCCGCGCGCGCCGACACACAGCGTGCAGTCCTCGCCGGCAGTGATACAGCGCGCACGCATCGGCGCAGAAAAATCCACGCGCAGTCATTAACGCCGATAATAAATTAACTTTTAATAACACCTGAGCTTTACGCGTTTAAGATAATCGCCGTTTGCGCCGGCGTTGTTTTCTCCTTTTGTGTCTTTCAGCGCTATAGACTTGCGAGTACATGACTGTGTGTGTCTAAAAAACGATTTGCTTTGAAAGCGTAAATTGAAAATATTTAGTTCGTCTGGGAAACTGGACAAACATGGGCGTGCGCATGGCATGGCATGGAAAATGCGAAACATTGAAACTCAATTACATAAAGTATGGATATGATTGCCTATAATTATCGGCCATAATCAGCGAGATATTAATTAAGAGTTTTTATCCTATTTTGTTGAAATGTATTATTTATTTATACGTGAGTATAGATATCTAACCTCGATGGGAATCAGTGTCTATGAGAATAATTAATAAATGAATCAGACGTGGATTTTTTACGGTTAAACAATTTTTTTATTAAAATTGTGTTTATTTTGATTTTTTGCAGTAAAATATTTGAATTTTTGGTGAAATTGATAATAAAATGATGTAGATTTTCAGAAAAATGCAAATAATTGAAAAAGTATTAATAATTTAACGACAAAACGACCAAAAAGTGCAAAAAATACAAATTTTCTAATTTTTTAACCGTTTTTTGAGAAAATATCAAAAATTTTCAGTTTTTTTTTGCAATAAAATCGTTTTGCAAACGCTAAAAACGCAAAAAAACTAAAATTTCTATTGAATTGAATGTTTTTTTCTATAAAATTAAATATTTATTGAAATATTAAAAGTACATCACTGGCAAATCAACAAAAACTAAAGAAATTTATTAAAAAATTATTTTTTGAACGTTTTTTGCAAAATTATAACAAAAAATACATTTTTAAGTGTTTTTGGCTTAATATATAAAAGAAAATTAACCATATGCGATGTGGTTTTGAATCAATAAAATTTTAATTTTCCTATGCATCATTTTCGACATGGGACTCTCGAATTTTATTCGGTTAGTCGAGTGTACATATAACAAACCATGCATATCCGACGCGCGTACGTACAAACCCGATGATTCGTATACACGTGTAGATATATTAAGGGAGGTAATAATGGCTGCAATATGTTTTTCCAGCGCATAATAAGCGCCTCGGCGTAATCAAAACAGCGCGCTGGTATCTATAGCCCGGCATGCTCACAAAGCGCTTCGTTCCGGGCCATAACTCTGTGCTCATACCGTTCTGATTATTACGAAGGGCTGCAAATATCAGCGACTTTGCCTCCCAGGGGATGACACTCTAGCGCATCGGCTACACCCCGTCAATTTATCCTCGCGCGCCTCGCGGCTCCTCTATAAAAAGCCCGCGCTGCCAAACCAAACGTCCCATTTTCAAATCGTCACCGCTATCAAAACATCAACGCGTCTCAGACATAACCTAACTTAACAACTTGACGAATTGCGAATTTTTTAATATGAAAAGTATTTGTGTGCATTGTGTTCGATGTTGACTATGGATATCATGTACAAAACGTACAATCATTGCGGCAACATAAAGAAAGGTATTCATTGATTAGCCGCCATCTTGTTTTTTTGTTTTGCTGCATGCGTAAAGTGTTTTATTGATTGTTGGAGGTTGTTGGCGCGTGTAAACAACTGGAGAGTTGATTAATTTGTTTGGTTTTGTTTGCAGGTACATTGCTTGTACAAGGCGAAGTGTCAAGTGCCCCCTTAGTGGCGGCAAGTGCGCAGCCTTCGGCCCCCAGCAGTCCTCAGTCAAGTATGCTTCTGCTGCAGACTCAAGTAAGTAATTAATTTGATTGAATTCACGCGTAGATCGTAAATTTGAACTTTTTTATCGATAATAATCATATTAATTGCGATATAAATCACGGCGGACCTAATACAGCGCCGGTCTGCAATTATGCATCCATGAACAATTAGTTCTCACGGATAGTCGGCGCCTGTTGAGCGCTCGCCTCCATCGGCGCTTTGTCATTTTCCGCGCGCGGCACGCCGCGACTGCACAAAGAGCGCGCGATACGAAATCGGCGGACAATAGTCATAAGCGACGTTAATTAACAACGGATTTTACCATATTCGCGTGCACGAAAGGCGGCTTTCCGATGGCGCTTCGGGTACGAGTTCGAGTATAATGGTTATCAAAGAAAAGCGCTTTCCATTCGGCGATTGTTATGGGCATCGAGACGTCCGCGGCGAATGGATGCGCCGAGGAGGCAATAATAGCTATCCGCGAGCGCATTGAATTAGATTGACAAAAGCTATTTATTAAGCGCGTATTGTTGTTGTGTGGCGGCTGACGGGCGAAAAGGAACACGAAACGTACGAATGCGCGCCATGATACTATTTTCGTTTATCGATTGATCTAATCTTGGAGGCATCAATTGTGAAGCTAGAAAAATTTTATTTGCAAGTGTTTTAATTTTAAATGGGCGCAGACTGAAGTAAGTGGGAAAAAAAAATTAAATTTTTTTAGTAAAATTGTTATTTTTGTTTGTTTTTTCTTTATTTTTCAAAAATTTTGGCAAAAAACGTCAAAAAACTTATAAAAACGTAAAAATTTATTAAAATCATAATATTTGGATTATATTTAACTCAAAACTAGAAATATTTATTGTCTATGGAATTTGCAGTCTAATTTCTTTCATTTTTCAAAATTTTTTTGTGAAAAAACGTCAAAAAACGTAGAAAAATTAATAAATTTATTAAAATTAAAATATTTGGATTATATTTAACTCATAACTAGAAATATTTATTGTCTATGGAAGTTGCAATCTAATTTCTTTCATTTTTCAAAATTTTTTTTGAAAAAAACGTCAAATAACGCATAAAAACGTAAAAATTAAAGCTTTTACTTCACATTTATTCCTAAATTGCAAATATCTTAATATTTTACTGAATTTTATTAAAGTTACCATTATTTACTTTCCATTTGCCAAAAATTTTAAGAAAAAAAACGAAAAATTGTCAAAAAATACGATTTTTTGTAAAAATTTAAGTTTTTTCTTCATATTTATCAAAAATTTAAATAAAAACACTATTTGAATATTAAGATTAAAACTTTCTCAATAAACTACAATAAGAATCAAAAGAATATTGACCATTTGCCCCACCTTACCAAACCAAATTAAGACACCGATAAATTTATGAGCGTGAATATTAGAAAAGCACCCACGCTGTTGTTTCGTGAACGCGAAGGTGTTACACGACACTCGAGTTATTCTTAGCGGAAAAATCCACAGTATTTCCGTCACATTTTTTCAAAGGAATGCATATTGCGAATTGTGTCCGTGTGCACGCCGCGAATTAGAAACCGAGAGCGCGGGGGCAGACGGAAAGTGTGCAGATGCATAGCTCCAAAAATAACCGCACAACTTTACTACACACACGCGCAACCTTCGACTGTAGTAAGTTGTAAAATACCAACTCACGTTGCATAAACACACCGAAACAAATCGCAACAAAGAAATCACGCCTTTCGCATGTGCGTCTAATTAAGTGAATAGCGAATAAATTCCAGATTAATATGCGCATTGTTTGTTGTTGTTGGCTAATTATGCGCGTGCTCAAGAATGCCGCAGTGATCGACAAATGAGCGCGTCGCACACCAACCGTACCACTCGCATAATGGCGGCCGCGGCGTCGCGACGCTCTCACACGCCCGACGCGCACCCAACTCCAAACTTTTGATTCCACCAATCACCGTTGGTTTCCGCCCCGCCTTGCGGCGCTTTCCCTCTCTCCACATCCATCACCGCAAAAGAAAACTAGGTGAAATAGGTTTTATTCCGATAAATCTCTTTCGCTTACTCAGTAGTTGTCACACACGTGTTTCGCGTTGCCGGTGCGCGCGTGTTCTAAATATAATGAAGCTCGTTGTTAAATAAAGCGTGCGTGCGTTAAGAATGTGGATTTGTTGCAGACCCCGTTTGGCTCGAGCAGCTTCGCTGACCTGCTGAGTTTTCCGGACGACCCGAGCTCCGTTCTGCCTCCCGAGGACCTCGACCCGTTCCCCGACGTAGCTTTACAATCCCAACCACCTTCACCGGCGCCACTGCCCAGCTTCCAGGAGACCTACTCGGTGCGTTACAACACCACCTTCAAGATGGAGGAGGATTGCTTCAACGTCGCCGCTTATACGCATCACCCTACGCACGTGGCCGCCCCCACGCATCACTACGACTACCAGCAGCATCAGTACAGCAGTAGTCCTTACTACCCGCCGCCGCAGTGCTTCGACAGCCTGATCTCGCAGGATTCATACTCGCTACCGCCGTATCAGAACGTCCCGTCGGAGTTGAACGTGAGCACTGCTCTGAGTCCACGCCAACGACGAGCTTCCCTACCACTACAACGTTCGGAATCAACTAGTAGTAGTGAAAGTCCCAAGTTACGCCTTGCGGGTCCTACTTCAGTTTGTTCATCAGCAGCGAGTTCCCCTGGAGGTGTGGATCCTGTTGGGAGTGGTGGAATGCAAAAGGGACCAGCTCCCCCATCACCTTCGCAGTTATGTGCAGTGTGTGGGGACACAGCCGCTTGTCAACATTATGGTGTTCGTACCTGTGAGGGGTGTAAAGGTTTCTTCAAACGCACGGTACAAAAAGGATCCAAATATGTGTGTTTGGCTGATAAGGCTTGTCCAGTGGATAAACGCCGTCGCAATCGGTGTCAGTTCTGCCGCTTTCAGAAGTGCCTCGCTGTTGGCATGGTGAAGGAAGTAGTACGTACTGATTCCCTGAAGGGTCGTCGTGGTCGACTGCCTTCCAAACCCAAATCACCACAGGAATCACCACCGAGTCCACCTGTGAGTCTTATCACGGCTTTGGTGCGCGCACATGTCGACACTACCCCTGACCTCGCCAACCTGGACTACTCACAGTATTGTGAACCCAGTCCTGTGGAACCCATCATTTCCGAAGCGGAGAAGATTCAGCAGTTCTACACTCTACTGACTACTTCAGTGGATGTCATTCGTAACTTCGCTGAGAAGATTCCTGGCTTCCAGGAGTTATGCGCTGAGGATAAAGACCTGCTGTTTCAATCCGCGTCGTTGGAGCTCTTTGTGCTGCGGCTTGCCTATCGGACCCATCCGAATGATACAAAGTTAACATTCTGTAATGGTGTGGTTTTGGATAAGCTACAGTGTCAGCGGTCGTTTGGTGATTGGCTGCACGCTATCATGGAGTTCTGCAACGGGCTGCACTTGATGGAGATTGACATATCCGCCTTTGCGTGTCTATGCGCCCTCACCCTCGTGACAGGTAACCAACTTGTAAATTATTCATTAACTCATTCTTAGAACTTTCATAGAATCACATAAATATTAATTGAAATAAAAACTTGATTCTATTTTATTCTGGTTATTTGCAGAACGACATGGATTAAAGGAACCACATCGGGTTGAACAGCTCCAGATGAAAATCATATCATCGTTGCGTGACCACGTGACGTATAACGCGGAAGCTCAACGCAAGGCGCATTACTTCAGCCGGCTGCTGGGCAAGTTACCAGAGCTCCGGTCGCTGAGCGTGCAAGGACTACAGCGGATTTTCTATCTGAAATTGGAGGACCTCGTGCCGGCACCGCCTCTGATTGAGAAGATGTTTGTCGCCAGCTTACCGTTCTAAGTGCACACAGAGTTTAATTATGTAATTACTAGGAAATATTTCTTTTAAACGGTGATAAAATGTGAATGTGATTTGTTATTAATGATACATATTATTGGGACGAGCGGATGAGATGTGGGACAGATTGAGGTTTGATGAAGATGATGATGATGAGACAGATACGGATGAAATTATTAAGTGTTGATTAGCATTAACAGGTTCTTTCAAAAAGGACGCTCCAATGCCGCATATATCCATCGCTAACTTATATAAATGTTTACAGTTTAAGTAATCATAGTATAGCTAAAATATTCTACGTTTATGATAAATTAAGTTTTTATGGAAGTCTAGTGCTATGCCGGGGGAGGGGAAATACAACAAAACAGATCTAGCCAGAGAGACGCAACGCCATGCTTTACTGTTACTAATAGCCACATTGAGGTTAGAATATAACCTCGAATGTCAGAGGAAAACTTACCAGTTATGGCGCTGCGCGTCGCTACGCCATATTTTTACTTAGAGACAAACCGCACTCAACTTTGACATGAACGCACCGATGATACTCTTTCAATATTGCTCTCTATGTGCGCAGTTATTAATATTATGATGTGCATACTTGCAACGACAGTTACCTAATACAGGCTATGAGTTTGATTTCATACTTTATATGTGTCTAAACGCTACCAAAACCTATCAATCTCATTGAAAATGATGCAAATCCGTGAAAAGCGAAATGAATCCGAAATTATTACTAGTCACGGCACTATTTTTGAGTTGGATAATTTAGAATTGTTATTTTTATATGAATTTTTATTGTGTTTGTTTTTTTATGACGTGTATAGACATATCATGTATTTACGATCGAAGTTCTTTTGTTACCAGGAAACCAGAATCGACAGAGCGCTGATGATGTTCCGAAATTTTTTAGTTACCAGACGAGCAGGCGTCAAATATAAAAAAAGAAAACTTGCTATTTTCCAAAATACTGCAATGTGAAGCGTTGAGTTTGTGCCATTTCATAACGTTATGCGAGTGAATCCTTTCGAATTGAGATGTGAGATGTATTATATATAAAGTATGTATATTTTCATATCAATTACTGCCTTGAAATGGAAACGATGGACTGACCTGATAGTTACCTGATTTGGGATGGTATACAAATAAACTATTTAACGAATAATGATGTGAAACGAAGAAACAAATTACGCATAGTGTGCTTAGGAATCCAGATGATATTTTTTAGTTATGTTTAAGCCAAGTAAACACAAGTTTTTCAACTTAAAAATTAAAATTTAAATCTAACACCGTCCGGATGGATACGAATGAATTTCTTCAATCAAGTCTTCACAAATAAAGTCTTCGTTTTGTTTAAAAGTTTAGTTATCCCACAAGAAATCACAAAACATAACCCGGAATGACGTTTTTCGTGATAAAGAAATAAAAATATTCGGCAACCATTTGCAATACAGTATGGAATAAATGAATAGAGTACCTATCTATGAACTAATTTTACTATCCAGTATATATTATTATAAATTTAATATGAGGAAGAATTTGTCATATTTGTACCTGCTTTTATAAACGTTGATTACATTTTAGAGGGAACAGAATATTGTAAACGTCACAAATTTATAAATCATAGGCGATATTTCGTACCGTTTGTTTACTATCTACAAAAAAACACTAGCGAATTACCTTCGTATTGTAATGGTTAAATGTGTATATATGATAATGAAACTTTCATATTGATGTGTAGGGAAATCTCTTGCGATTTTTTGCTTCTTGCCGCACGCAAATCAACAAAACGTTGCCATTTAATGCCAGTTTGTTAACGTATGAGTATAATATTTTGTTCGTTACAATATTAATGCTTCATTATTGATATTTATGTATCTGTACTTACCTAATTTCTAGATGTGTGTTATTATTACGTAATTAGTTTCTAGGAGTTAATAAATTATACGTACACAAATATGATATGCCGAATAGTTACCTATACTTTAGCAGATAAAGTTATTCTTTTTAAACTAATATATTAATACATACTGTTATACAGAATAGAATCGTATTGCTTACAACTAAAGATAGACGTTTCTTTAGCGTAAGAGGATGTAAATCGAATCAAATTGTTGATTCTTGAAAAAAATAATTAATTTCACATCAAAAGTTGCAGATAGAAACGAAAAACCAGTGTGTTATGATTAATTAATGTTTATTTATTTGTGTGGCATTTCTTTAATAAATTGTAATGCAAACATTTTGCATCCACAAAGGAGCCGCTGCTTGACAAATGTTTATATACTATGAAATTTACCAAGTACAATAATTTCACCCTATTAAACGAGTAAAACTCATAGTTGTTACGATGTTACCGCAATAGCACAATTTTAATTAAGTTTTTTACTGTATTTTGTTAAAAGTGAGGCAAAACAAATCAATTTTAATGATTTTTATGGTATGTATTGCATATTTCTTGTACGTAATCGAAATAAATTCTATATTTTAAGTAATTTTGTTACTCAGATACTCAGAAAATCTTGCATTTGTTAGGAATTGTCAATTTTTTTTTCCTGGACATTTTAGGTTACTGTCAGTACACAAAATGGCGGAAACTGCTGACTTTACTGGTACCGATGTGCAAATGACACAAAACCATAACATAAACAAATATAACCAGAAAAAAACCTAAAAAATAAAATAATTTTAAATAATTGGCCACAAAATTGCGCAAAATGTAATAATTTGACAGATAAAACCAAACGTCAAATTATTTTCCGGGCCTTAAATTAATAAATCAATGAATATACCCAACGCCAAAATTTTTCATTTTCAAATCAAATATTAATACAAACTTTAATTTACATCACAGTTTTCAAACAACAGTAATATTTGAAGGGGGTGTAAAATATGGTAGATTTAAATGCCAAAATGTTTATGAGCGTGCAGCAAAGCCACATTATGCGTGGTAACACCGGAAAAAATAAGCCATGAGAGGCAACATCGTGCACAAATGTGCTCCAAAGTTTGACGAGATTATGGCTGCGCCCGCAGTGGTCGCTTCTTCTTTCGCTTCAGCGGCGCCATCAGCAGCCGCGTCCCCTTCCCCATCTTCCGCGTTAACAGCCGGCATAATTAGAGACACGAGCATGCATAGTGCAAATGTTAGGAACAGAAACACTTTGGTCTTCATATTGTCTCTGCAATTCACAAATCAATTTAGAATTACGAGTAGATTGTCAGCACATACACCGAATTTATTTAATATAAGCGAAAATAATTTAAATTACTCACCACAAACAGAGGGATTATTGTCCAAAGAGAAACGAACACTCGACTCAAAAGATTGAAAATATTTTTTTAATTCAAATATAAACAAGAGTATAATTGCTTTGTGTGTACCGATTTCACACTGGCCAAATGTCCAGTTGATTAGAAACAAGCGCTAGAAGTCATTCATGGCCACCTACGTAAACAAAATTCGTTTATAATTTCATAGCAAATGTGATCAATTGCACATAAATTAGTTTTATATTTTTTTAAATTTTATGTAGGCAACCAAACTTTCAACGTGAAACTATCAACTTTTGTTCCGAAGTTTTTTTATGACTGCTTTCATAAATTTTTTCTCGAATTTAGGTTAGTCATGTCTCATATACGTTTGTATTTAAAGAAAACAACTTTTATTATAATAAAGTGTGTTGATGTATAGTTTATTCAAACAAATATTTTAAATATATAATCAGAGATCTTCTCAGCGCAATCCGACTATAGTTTCACAACTCTTCTCCTTCCATGACTCGTGACATCACGGTTCACTGTCAACCTGCTGTCAAGTGTGTGCAAGTATGTTTACAATTGTAGGCGTTCGTAAATTTCTATTTTGAAGCAAACCAGGCGCAATTAAACGCACTTTGCTGAACAACATAATTGGCGAGCTGTGTCAAGACGTATTCGAGATTAAATGCGACACGGAAACACTTGCAGCAGCGCACGTCCGACCGCTGAGCGTCGTTTGATAACGACGGTGTCCACACAAAGAAATGAATATCCACTTGGAATTCTACATGCACTAAAAATAGCATAAAGAGACTAGTTATGCCTGAACAATTCATCAAAGTGAAACACAGCGAATCACAATCAACCACTGTATTCTGTGACATCAAGAAGAATGACAATGATCTAAATGACTCCTCATCAAATCTGTCCAATTCGAATGGAGATATCTGTCGCATTTGTCACTGTGAGGCAGATGTTGGCAATCCACTGCTGTCACCCTGCTATTGTGCTGGAAGCCTTAAGTATGTACATCAGAGCTGCTTGCAGCAGTGGATTGCTGCATCAGATACTAGATCATGTGAGCTGTGCAAATTTCAATTTATTCTGCATACAAAGATTAAACCAATCTCAGATGTAAGTAATTTTATAAATTGTAAGTCATTAGCAATAAAATGTGTTTGTATTGCAGTGGAGGAGATTGGAGATGAGCAACATTGAGAGAAGGAGACTGTTATGTGCAATATTATTTCATTTTGTTGCTGCTGTTTGTGTTATTTGGTCTCTATTTGTACTTATTGACAGGGCAGCAGAGGAAGTGCACAGAGGTGCAATTGGTAAGAGATTTACTAAAATTCTATGCATTTAAACAATGATTATTTGATATTTATTAATTGCAGCTTGGCCTTTCTGGACCAAACTTGTAGTTGTTGCTGTTGGGTTCACTGGTGGTGCAGTATTCATGTATATTCAATGCAGGCAATATTTGCACTTGTTTTCACGTTGGAAGGCTCACAATAGGTTTGTTTTATGCTTTTGAACAGGTGATGTTGAATCTTAATTTGAACAAAATTCAACGCCACCTGGTGTTAAATATATATTTTTTTAAATATTTGTTAAAAATATTGCAATTTCTTTGATACAAAGTATCTTGTGACCTTGCAATACCCCTGAAAATATGTCAACAAAATTTCTTGATGATTGTTTGAGTAGTTTTCGCGTAAAAGCGTAACAAACAAACAAACTTTTGCATTTATTATAGTAAAGTAAGGATTTTGTATGAATGTTTGTGGTTCTAGAATAATTCTCGTTCAAAATGCACCCGAGAAACAACCGCCGCCAGCGCCATCGCCTGTCGTGCGCGTTGCGATAAGTCCCCCAAATCGTTCGGATTTCTCCTCCGAAGTGGTCGCGAATGTGGAGCACAACGCGCCACCGCGCTACTCCGAAGGCCCACAGGTGGAGTCATGCTATGTGTTCAACGCGCCCGTCGACAACGTGAAGACGCATGCAGCCGATAAGAGCGCACCGCCCAACACCAGCCGGCAGCCGCCACCGCCACCCGCCTCCGACAACGACAAGAAGAGCATCGGCGCGAATTCGTGCGACGCGCTCGAACTCAACATCCAGGAGATACTAGCGCTGGACATCGAGTACAGCAAGCGGTGTTCACGCAGCTCCGGCGACGGCCACACCGCGCCGGCAGAGCGAATCGCGCAATCAAAGAGCGTCTTCAAGTCGATGCCTAACTTAAGTGCCAGCAGCGAGAACCTACTTGTCTAAGAAATTCATTTTACGCGGGCGGAGCACGTGGAGGCGGTGGAAGTGGATTGCGATGGAGGAGATTCGAAGACCGGAACATAATTTTTTATTCAGCCCCGCTTACTGGATTCAAAATTCATTTCTAGACGCGAAAAAATGGGTTTCAGTCATTGGATTTCAACACGAAAGCTGTGAGTTATATTGTTACACAACTAACAATTATTACTATTATATTTATAAATGGTGCCTTATTTGTGGAGTGTTTTAACTGTCATAAGTTTTCAGTCTTTATTAGTTGTAGCGTATGTAATACTATATTATATTAATCATCTCAATCACTCCCAGGTTCCGGGTGTATGCGTAAAATGTTAAAACGTCGAGTGGGCGAGTTATTAGACTGGTTTTGATTTGTAATAATATTGAGTAAGATTGTTTTTAAATGGTGCTATATAATTTGTAAATTTGCTCAAAATGGGAGCGCGGTGTTTGTGTCGTCTTTCGTTTCGGTAAACACTCAAAAAAGTATTCAAGAATTGTGTGAATTTCAATTGCACGCCATGATCAAATTGAAACATTGAAAATGACTGAGCAGCCCTTTGGTTCTTCACTGTTTTGAATGTTTTTTTTTTTTTTCTTATTATTGCGCGATCGAAATGTGAAAATTATATTTTTATATATGAAAACATTCATTATCAGACGACTTATCTGAATATTACTTTCGGCTGATTGTACAGTAGACCTTTATAATGGATTGTAATTAGTTGGAAGTGCCGGCGTAATTATAATAGCTAGCAAATAGACAAAAACAAAAAAGTATCGAGTCCTAATCGCGTGGTGATGTGTCGGTTTTGTATTTAATTGAAATTGACTGCCCATTCTCAATCATTTCAACACAGCTAACTGCATTTACATTGACGTGAATATCAAATTTGTTGGTTTTTCTTTTTAGACGTGATAAAAAAAAAGAACAATTTCAGTTTCAAACTTTTACAATTCACTTTCTAGGCGTCAGCAATGCAGTATTAAATACACTGATAGGGACACGATTTATTTGCGATTTTCAGCTTTATTACTCTATAAATATATTCGATTATTCTCTTTGCCGTGTACGAAATTGTAATTGTGTTTTACTGGTTTACAGCATACGCGTTGCATGATCGATAAGAAATTGAAAGCTAGTCGTTAACGTTACTAATGAGAATTGTTGTTTGTATAACACTTATCGGTTTTATCTGGATATATTGATTCATGCGGAGCGGAACGGTTTTTGTTACTTGAGAAACAATGTACTGCAGTGTTGTATTTTTTAAAACCGTACGATGAATGTACATAAATACAAATTACAATAAATGTTTTATTGCAGACGGCATCGTAAGTTCCTTAGTGTGTATATCTTTTTTATTTAATTTTCATATAACTATCTACATATTTGATTCTTATATATAATAAATAGTGTCGAAACGAAACGGAACGAAAAGTTTAAACATTCAACATCAAGAGTTCCACTGAGAAACGTAATTGTAATGATAATGGTATAAAAAAAATCCCAAGACCCATTGATTAAGCATTGTTGTTCTTACCTGAACCACTTAAACTTGTTTTACATCTTAAATGTTTCATAGATTTATCACAATTGCATACGCCGAACCTAATGCGGACATTTCGCGGGGTTTTTTATAGACATCGCTGAGTTGCTGTTTATTTTTGCGTTGTATGCTTAAGTTGATCTAGATATTTTAATACAAGAACCGTATGTACATTGGTTGGAAGTCTGGAAGCTTCACTTCAGTGCAAGTTAAAATACAATCTCGCGGCGGCCTTAAATTAAGAATTGAGTTATTCTGTTTCCCTCAGTCTTGCGAGACGCTGCGACAGCTCGTCCTGTTCTTGTGACATTTGAGTGGTGGTGGTTGTGCCCACTGCAGTGTTTGTAACACCTTCGGGTAACTCCATATTGAGCTCCAATCTGAGACAATGATAACATATATAAAAACATGTAAAATTTTTGGTTTTAGAAGTGCATACCCAGCTTCATCAGCAACTTGTTGCATCAGTGAATCGACATCATTCTGTGGCACCATTGTGGTAACATTTTGAGACATTGCATTTTCCATTACACCACTTTGTACATCCAGGTCTTCAAACTGTTGCTCGAACTTGTCCATCAAGTTTGATATCTTCTCCAGGTTCATACTCTTCATTGCTGCATCCATTGCTTTCACCACACCTTATGGATGAGCAAAAATTGATTAGCGAATGATTAAAATGTGTGTAATAAGTTGAAATTGTTTACCTGCCATAGAATTAGTGACTTTTCTAGTTGTCAAAGCAGACTGAACACGACTGGACACGGCATCTACTCGAGCAGACATCCGTAAGTAGTTTATCGCCTGATTTTTCTGTCTGATTGCATTTTCTGCATGAATTCGAGCCACTTCCATGTTGCCCTTTTGAATGGCTGTCTTGGTTTTGGCCTTTTCCAGTTTCTCTTCTTTTTCGCATCTCTTTGAATTTCGTTCCAGCTCTTTCACGGCAAATTTCAAATTGAACAAGTGCTCTATTATTTAAAAATTAAGGAATATTTACTCAATAACATTGTGATGTCATGACTATTATGAGTCATTAGTATGAACCAAATTGTAGATTTATTATTTGTGTGTATTGCAAAAGGATACTTTCCATAGCAGATGAAGACATTTCGTTGCCCATAGTGACTTAATTATTTGTTTCTATCAGTAAATAACAAAATAAGTGTTTAATTACTATAGCAATGATCTAAAACACCAAAATATTTATGACGTTCTTCAATTTCACTGCGACCACAATACACGTTCCCTTTCCCATTCACTGGTGCTGTACGGCGGACAAATTAGGCAACTGGTGAGAAACTTATTATTTTGTACGCCAGAGGGCGCTAGGAACATGTTATTTGCTAGAAATATTTAGAGAGACTAACTTTTATCAGTAACCGAATATACCTGCAAGACAAAACATGTTTACCTGTGAGAATCAAGTTTCAAAACACGGTAATATAAACAATAAATAATATAAGTGCACACGTTCTAGAAACAACAACACAATATTACTCTGATGTCTTCTTAAAACAAGTAAGTGGATAGAAATAGTTTGTAATTTTATTTTATTGAGACGAACTTCCATTTTAATACTAAAACGGTTTAGCAATACGTTAATACCAATTTTTTATAATTGCAAGTCATAATCCAAGACTTATTTGTGAACGGGATACAACAAAATAGTTTGTAATAAAATAAAACACTCGTGAATTACAGATTTGTAGCATATTTTTATTGTTTCATTTCTTAAATTGTGTAAATTTACATTCACAATCACTTCACGCGTCTACACGTGTTCCAGTTACACCGAAAACAAGAATATCTGACTATACACTAATACAGTTTAAACGCATACATACATATACTTACAAGTAAACACTAAACTAATCGTATTAAATTGCTAAGCGCACATCGAAATGTTACACGGACGATGCAATTCAATAACGTTTACAATTAATGGACGGACTGCACAAGCTGATAAGCGGAATCTTCGTATATACAGTGGCGATTCACAACGAAAATATTATTTCAAAACAAAAAAAACAAAAACAAACAAAAATTATTAAACATTAAACACTAGAATAAATGTCATAATACAAGACAGCATTGAGTAAATGAATAGTATATAATTAATAATTACATAAAAATAATACTTATAATTAAACATATCAAATTATTGCTGTTAAATAAATGGCGTACGTCAATAGATTCATGAAAAATTCTTACTTAAGTACTTAACTACTCCGGAATGTGATGTATGGAGTGGTTACCGTTACCTAACTTTACCTAATCTAACCTAACTTAACCTAATAATATATTAGTCACAAGTTTTAAGGTGATACCATGTCAGATCTTTCAAATTTTGAAATTCTTAGAAAGAAATCGTCAGTTTATGAGCTAAAAATTAAATATTTCTTCAGATCTGAAATTATACCATCGCAACTTAATCAATTAATTCAATTAATGCTATAATTAATCTCTAATTATGAGTTTAAGTCTCGATATGGATATTATTCTTGCATTAAGTACATTTGCCACAGTGGAATCATGCAAACTAATTTGCTAAGTAATTTAATTGCACGATTCAAATATACAACATAAATTAAGTTAATGATTTTTTACAGCGCTTACTGACTAGTTTGATATACATACCTCAACGCTACACAATTCGACGCACATGTTTTTCAAACAATGTGCAAATTAAATTTTAATTTAAATTCAGTTATTTTTTCAAATGGCGGCTTGTGGCAATCGGTGAATGATTGAATATATGAAAATGATATTTACGTTTACGATGCTATGGATATTGTCTTCGCTAATCAGAAGTTGGATTCGCGTGCGGTTTTGCCCGTGTGCGGACTTGGCGTGCCCGCCATTGCGTGATTATCATACGCGTAGTCCAAAGCGCTGTCTTCGGCCGGCCGCCGACTTATCGACGTAGTCATCGTGGCCGGGGTCGTTGGCTGCTCCGAACCGGACATCGTGTTCGTTATGTCCAGTCGAAGGTTTTTTTGATCTTGTCGCGGAGTTGCAGTCGACGCTGTCGACAAACCGTTAGGAGAGCCTTTTTCTACATCTTCGTTGTTATTTTCACGCTGTGAAGTCATTTGAGGTTAGATTAGGTTATGCCACATTAGGTTATGTTATATAAACTAGTAATTGTAAAGTAGATTTACCTTAAAGTAGCTTATGATGTTGTTTGGCTTTATATCATTCTTTTTGGCCCATTTATGACACTTATAACCTGCATATCCAACAATAGCCAATATCAACAGAATTATAAGCACCAACGCAACTGTCACTAATGTGTATAGTTTGTCAATATCTGAAAATAGATTAAATTTATTAACACACTCGAATTTACAGTAGAATAAATCACATACCTTTTGAATTGTAGGAATTATTGTTATTATATGGTGAATTACCAATAGCAACTCGATTATCTGTACTTTGTCCAACTCGTACGTATCTAATGTCGTGCAAATAACCTGCAATCAAACATTCGTAACGTTACTCCGTGAACTATTGAATGTTTCACTTCGTGGGCACTAGTTTTATATCTGGTATCATATACTAGTTGTTGTTGTTTGAGTATTACAGCATTATAAACATTATAACATGAAGCTCAATTCGCAGTTCATTGCATTGCTGTTAGTCTAAATAGTTATGAATATTTTGAGTTGCACAAGATGGCGGCGATGACAATAACTATCTTAGGAAATGTATTTAGTTTTTGAGGTACGCGTAGCAACAATAAAATTTATTTAAAGAAAGAATATTATTTGGTATTTGATAAAAAAATTATGATTATTTAGTAATTTTTATGAAAAATCTTTAAAATTAGTTAAATTTTTACCTAAATGTGCCAATTTTAATTAAATATTTAATTGTTTTGATAAAAACAAAGATTTTCTTGTTTATTTTGGCAAAAACAATCAAAAAATGTTCTTTAATCGTGAATAAATAAGACAAATACACAATTTGCGTGGTAATCAAGTGTGGTAATCGACAATTGATTCTGAAATTTATGAAATTCTCTAATAATCTGCATAACATCTACATAATGACTATTGTAATTTGCCAAGTACAATAGAAAGCTAATCAACTAACATTTATGAACTGCGGGCGTATAGCCTACACATGGACTACACGGAATTCATAATTATCGCTTATTTTTTGTTCATACATTTCATACATATGTTTGTTTGAACAACTGAAGCGAATAAACATCGTGCATACCTGAGGCGATGCAGCACTCACGTCATTACTATTTATTTATTATAAAACGCAATAGTGTTAACATGTACTTAGTGCTAATATATTAATTGTCCAAGTGATTTACACTTGAGTGTACTTATTATGACGTCAAATATGTTTATCTGCTACAAAAGGATTTATAGATATTCAAACATTAAAAACATCTTAAAATAATAATAGAATGCAATGAAAATGTCTATTAGATTAAATATAAGTTGTATTTGGAACGTAAATAGAAACCTAACCTAACATTTTAAACTTAAGTCATCTTAACCTTGTAAAACCTAACCAAATCGAACATTTAAATAAAAATTCGTGTCAATACTAAGAAAAATATTGACTAATATTGGTATACGCAAAAGTTATTATTAAAAACAACAACAAATTATGGTTTATGTTACCTGTGTAATTAATAAATCAATGTCATGGTTCATAAAAGTTTAAATATGAGTATAAATAAAGATACCTGTGCTGTTAAAAGTACAAAATGCAAAATTTATTAGTAAACTTGTAATCATGGAACGTTTTTATGTTTCCAAAGCTATAATATGCACGAAATAACATCCTATTTTGTGCCTCACATTACCAACATGTCACCGAATACCAAAATATCAAAAATAATATTTATACTGGTGCACAACTTAAAATAACAATTAACTTCTACTGTTTGGTGTCAATATCAAATTTCACAAAAACAAATCTCATTATTTAATTTGCAGATAACGCCCGCTGTTGAAACAACAGCGATAGTTAAACAGGTATTAATGAAATGAAAGCAGAGTGCACGCGAACATTAAATAAACAGCAACAAAATGGCGGCACGCGTACTGCATACCATTGACTACGCCGCCGACGCGCTTACAGTTCCGTTATCGCAAATACAACAATGCTCACCTTGGCATGTTTCCACACACAATTTCTCTTCGAAATTGTGCGAGTCCTTATCGCAAATATCCGCGCACCCTTTGCACTGGTTCTCGAACGATGAACAGAATTCGTGCGGCTTGCATGTGAAGACACCGCAGCGCGGTCCGCTAATGGTCAGATCGGCGTTGGCAGCGCACACCAACGCCGCGCACACAAACACCAACGACTTCACGAAGAAGTCACGCATTTTTTACACCTTCTGAATTTCGGAATTTGTTCGTTAGGTCGTAAGTAGTTAGTTTTGGGTGATTGTATTAAGTATTTTTGGCCAATTGTTGGCGTGGCGAGAGGTCACATCTCGTTGCGACTGTTGGTGCGCACCCACTTGTTGCGTCGCGCGGAGTCACTAAGCCATTTTCACTTTTCGCCGACGAGCGCGGCGGCTTCTGCGATTGCGTGCACTGCTCAGTCGACTCTCGAGTACAGTCGTACCTGCTCAGGTGGAATAGGATGGGGTACCTGTTTGATACTTCTCCTACCATTTTATACCGCAACATGAAAGTTATGGTGTGGTCGGAGTAGAGATTGAAATTCTCTATCAGAAAATTATATTGCAACACTGAATTAATTCCAAAATTAAAATCAAAATAAATAAAACATGATTTAATCTTTGGTTTAATTTGATTATTCTTTTAATAGCATTATTATTATTTAATATTATTGATTCTAGAATGTTTGTAATTCCGTTATTGTTGCGTCGTTGCGTTGTTACGTGTAAAGCATAGAGTCGAACACTCAAATTCCAAAATGAATGCTTCCATGAGTCATCGCGCGGCGCGGACCCACAAACGCGCGTCACAACGTCACACTTTTTGGTTTGCGTTTGCTCGAACGATATTTTACGAGGCAGTGAAGATAAGGTCGTTAGTTGTTACCTGCCATTGAAGAATGATGAAGCAAACGTGCAATGTATGATTAATTAGAACGTTCTTTGAAATATCAGGTCTATTCTGTGCTAACCAAATATTATAAAAGAAACGCAAGTGACTTAAGTAACATGTTTTTACATATTTAGACATTCTCTAGGTCATGTTCAATTCTTTGACTTTGATGTTCCTTTGTAGAAATACGTTAGCAGGTGTTACAAAGGTATCACAGGTAGATTACGATGTTCTATACCATCTGAGGTCCGTGTAAGATTCTTCGGATGGGCCCATTTCAATAAAAATTATCACATTGCAATTTAAATACGATTATCTCGTAAACAAAAAGCACCTGAAATATATATAACATAAAGTATTAAATTCATAATTTTCATTTTCTATTAAATAAGATATTCGAATAGAGATGATTGTTCAACTGATAGTTCCACAAAACCGCAATATATCCATCAACAAACGGTTATTTTTAATTGTAACGTCGTTTTTTTACCGCTGCTAATTAGTTTCTTGTCGTTAAGAAACATCAATCTGAATATTGTAGTGATCGAATTGCTTTTATGCAAATTTTCCTGTATTATTTAGTATAGTATATAATATAGATACTGATTCATATTTTTTTCATTGCAGTACATTCCTTGTCTCATCGATGCTATCCTGGTAAGTTTACTCAATTACTCAATTATATTTTCCTTAAAAATTAATGAATCGAATGCATCATAGTATTAAAACCTAAAATGTTGCCATTATTTACATCTTTTAAATTTTGTTGTGGAAATTGAGTCGTACCTCGGGAACCCTTCAGAGTATTTGCTTGTTTAATTCTGATTCTAATAGCACGAAAGTTGATATTATTGCCGCCCCAGTGTTCTGAAGGTTTCACTTCTATGGTGTGTGAACTGCACACATGACTTTTTAACAATTGCGAATATCTCGTAAACTAATTGAGATAGAAAGGAACAAATCGCAGGGTCTTAATCTACGGACCATTTTCTATCAAATAAGCTAGTTAAATTAAAAATCTAAAAAATAAAATTTTCATTCTTAAGAAAAAATTGCCAAGGGGGGGTGTTTGATACTTTTTTTCGACGATTTTCAAAAATTAATATCTCTTAAACTAAAAGAGGTAGCTGCCAACGAATTGTTGATTATGAAAGATTGAAAAATTCTCTATCAGATAAAAATATAATATTATTATATTTCCTACAGTAAAGAGTCGAAAAACGCGACTAAAAGGGTCAAAAAGTGACATTTATCAATTTTTGCTCATTTTATTCAATCGCGAATATCTCGTAAACTAAAAGAGATAAATAAGATCTGATCGCAGCGTCTTAATCTACGGACCAAGCTCTATCAGATAGAATAGTTAAAAGGGAAATCTGAGAGATGAAATTTTAAGTCTTAAGAAAAAAATTGCCAAGGGGGGGGTGCTTGATACTTTTTTTCGACGATTTTCAAAAATTCATATCTCTTCAACTAAAAGGAATGGCTACCAACGGGTGTTGTTGATTATGAAAGATTGGAAAAGTCTCTATCAGATAAAGATATAAAATAATTATATTTCCTACGGTAAAAGTCGAAAACGCGCATTAAAAGTGCTAAAAGTGACATTTTGCAATTTTTGCCCATTTTATTCGGTAATCACGAATATCTCGTAAACTAAAGAGATATAAATGAATCTGATCGCAGCGTCTTAATCTACGGACCAAGCTCTATCAGATAGGATAGTTAAAGAAATCCGAGAGATGAAATTTTTAAGTCTTGAAAAAAATTGCCAAGGGGTGCTTGATACTTTTTCGACGATTTTCAAAAATTCATATCTCTTCAACTAAAAAGAGATAGCTACCAACAAATTGTTGATTATGAAAGTTGGAAAATTGTCTATCAGATAAAGATATAAAATAACTATATTTCCTACGGTAAAAGGTCGAAAAAACGCGACCAAAGTGCTAAAGTGACATTTGCAATTTTTGCCCATTTAATCAATCGCGAATATCGTAAACTAAAAGTAAATAAGATCTGATCGCAGCGTCTTAATCTACGGACCAAGCTCTATCAGATAGAATAGTTAAAAGGGAAATCTGAGAGATGAAATTTTAAGTCTTAAGAAAAAAATTGCCAAGGGGGGGGTGCTTGATACTTTTTTTCGACGATTTTCAAAAATTCATATCTCTTCAACTAAAAGAGATAGCTACCAACGAATTGTTGATTATGAAAGATTGGAAAATTCTCTATCAGATAAAGATATAAAATAATTATATTTCCTACAGTAAAA